GTTGGATTCATATCGGGGTTACAGATTTACTGATGACCACTCCAGTGTTGATTTGATTCGGTTTTCCAAGAATAATCTAGTAGCATTAGTCATGTGAGAAAGTTATTTGCTATGCAAGGAGATGACTACTTGAATGACACCATGAAGAAAATAAGGGTAAGGCTTGACGTTCCAGCACTTGCACGATGTAGTCAACTAAACCAAGGCATCCAGTGATTCTCATGACGGCGGTTTTGTTCATTCCACAAAAGATCACCCAAAACCAGGCCAGTTTCGAGACGTCTGATCCTAACTGACAGATGATTATGTCCAAATTTAACTAACACAGTCAATGTTCGAAATAAGGCTTCGTGCTCGACACAAAACCATAAGCTCCTACACAAAAACAAAATTAAAACTAATTAGCACATGTTGTGTTAAGTCCAGGTTTTGTGTGATATTTGTAACTTCTCAATTCTCCAATCTGCTTGAAAATATCAGCAGAAGATGCTGTTCATTGCAGAGACAATAATATTCCCTTTTCATTTGATATTTAATACATGTTTATTCCACCAATGTTGATGCCCTTCCATATTCGCGCTAACTCACTTTTTGCGTGTCTCTGATTTCGTACAATTTTGCCAAGCCTGATTTTTTAAAGGTCAATTTTGACTGACCATGTCTCGGGCGTCTCTTAAACATAGATGGAATATTAATGTGTCAGATGATGCAGAATTTATTCAGCTTTAAATTGATATGCTGCATGAGCAGGTAATTATATTTTGAAGTTTCTTTTGGACGCCACTAATATACACATATATAAATTCATGCTATCTTATATTCAAGCTTTGATAGTGTCACAGGGATTTACAGTTTAGTTTTAGTTAGAATTTTACAGCACTTGCAACACAATAAGGTCATATAAGTGTCGAAGATTAAAGGTGTCACAAGAGTGTAACAAACACAATGAAGAAAGAGGACAGATAAGAACTATAGACGTTTGATAGGAAAGAAGGAGCAAACCACACTGGAGCTCCCATCAACCGCCAACCATGGATTTACAATAATTCGATCGGTTTTGTGAAAATACATGACGCAGTACACAGACACTAAGTCGAATTTATTTCTCCTCAATCTCTTGAGTTTCCTTCATGTTCAAAAAGCCTGAGGTCACACCTGGCTGATCACACCTTGTCAATCTGAGGGCATTCAAACAGCACGTCATGACAAGTTTCGGCTACACGGTAGGGTAGATACGATTTAGCCTTACATTATTTAAGAACGCCTGAGACCAGTGGTTCGTGCGTGTGTGTCACGAACGATAGCTGACTACCACTACCTCAGCATTGCAAGGTGCTATCTGATCAGTACCTAGTTTTGAGAAATTTGATGTTAAAAATGTTGAGTTTCACATGTCAAGCTTTTTCGAAAGTAATTCTTTCGATATCTCGATAACGACTCAGACAAATCGTGCGGTTTTGAAAGAGCAGATAGTACATAAAATATTATTTTTTGGTTTCTGATCTCATGGTCTTGGTAACTTAAAACGGCCAAAAATGTCAGATAGAACGTTGTACGACTGAGATAACCTAATGACTTCGCGTTCAAATCACACCACGCGTCTGTTCACGAGAGTGCCTTCCACCAATACGGACTTTTGAAAGAAAGTTCTTGTTTTTCTGTGGTAGATAAAGATTGAAAAGCGCTTAAAGAGCTTGCTGTTGAGCAGGAATATGTGTTATACAAATTCTATTTATTATTATTATT